AAACTTCAAAAAGACTATTAAAACTTACTCAAAGGGGTAGGAGAAGGAGCTTCATGGCTCCTGCAAAGGCTACTCAAAAAAAGAAGCCTATCGCGAGGCCTCAAGGTGGTGAGGAGCCTCAGGGAGGTGCTGCAAGCTCACCACCTCCAACCTCGCGTCGCGGCCGCGCGATTAGAACTCCGTCTCGATTTCTATAGCTGTATATATATATTAAAGCCTATTGATCTCACCACCAAAATATATCGTGATAATATCTATTTGGTGTGGCTCTATAGCCTCGTTTTTAAGGTAGTTTTGGTGAGGCCGCGCGCGCACTTTGTGGTCGCGCGCACTTTGTGGTGGGGCTAGTTAATGGTAGATATAGGTCAGCAGACCGCAACCTTACATTGATGCTTTTGTTGGGACATCGCTCTTGTTCTTGCACTTGCCTAAATGTAGAAGGTTGATCTGGGTAAGGAGGAGAAGAAGAAGAAGAAGAAGAAGAAGAAGAAGAAACTACAACACATACAAACATACTCAATACAACCACCAACATTCTATTCAACCTCGCTAACATCATCATCTCCACCAATAGCGCTGATTTCTCACCCACTCACTACGGGTGTACCTGACACCACCACTTCAAACGCGTATATTCGAAGCATACCAAGAAAACAAGCACTCATCTTAAAACCCCCTAAATATATATATATATATCAAGACTTGGCTTTGATGGTTAGAGAAGTGTTGGATTAGTGTTTACAGCACCTCGCGGTAGCTATTTAAGCTTCAGATTCAGACGTTCAGCTTCAACTTCAGCTTCGCAGAGTAGTAGAAATAATCAATGGAGCGCTTGATTAGCACTCCCATGTTCGCAAATGCAGTTATTTCAAAAGTATCCGAAAACGGGGTACTTGAGCAGAACAATGGAAGTGGGAAGTCGGTAGGGATATGTGTGAGTGATGGTAGTGCAACGTAAAAAGGAGTTGATGATGGGGAATAGTGACTAGATGGAGAAGTATGTACAGTGGTGGGCTGATATCTTGGGTTGCAGATGCTGTGGCATACGCATAAAAATGCGTCTGGGGCAATGGGGTCGAAGGGACGGCGTGGATGACGTGGATGGCGTTGGTACTTTGTGTCTTTTCACTGTCTTTTCACTCACAGCTCTTTTATTGCGGCAGAGTACATTTGTTGTTGGAGCATGAGATATACACATGAATTCTCTGATCTGATCCTATCACGCCCATTGAAACTAGGTATCACTTTTTTTTCTCGAAAAAAATACACCGACAAAGTTGAAAAGCCTCCTATCACCCGCCTCGCTCACAAGTAGAGAGAACAGATACAGTACGCAATCTATTACTCAGCTCTTATGTAGCAAACAACAGACATGCCTTTTTCGTGTGATTGCGTCAATCGCTAGAAGATCTATCCAATGCCCTATGATGAACAATCCACGCCAGTTTTCAGCAGCATATGAACAGCGCTACATTCATCAAAGCCCAGTTTCATGTTCCCCTAACGCCTATCCACGACATACAATCATTTCGAAAAACCCGCTTGACCAGCGTCCTTGTTCCCGAAACCAGTTTTAATAGCATTCATACCAGCCTTGATGCATCAGAACAGTATGACTTCATCAGGCCATAACAACGCCCGTTATCCAACAACACCCCCAACTCCGCGTGCGCTTCAAATATATTCATCACACCCACACCCCACGCCATCCCTGGCCTGATGATCTCTCCCCAACCGATACGCAGCATACACGCAGGTAACGCCGCAGCGCGCACAAAACCACATCCTAGCAGAAAAAATCCCGAGTATCAGCCTGAGAAGCTCGCTCCTGAGAAGCAAACAAGACAAAACACATGCAAGTTCGAAAAAAGAAAAGAAAAGATAAAAAACGAAAATTCAAAAACTTACGCTGCAAAAACAGCAACACCATACGAAGCCCTCATAACACGACACGCCGATCTCGCACAAACACACACATCTGCGCAGCCGCGCTCCAGATACCAAGGCGAAGCGCTGAGGTGTTCAGGGTCAGACAAGTCGGGTGCAGACTGCAGGACCGCGCTAGCGATGCAGAGGGCAGCAAGGAGCGCATCGTAGAGAGCGTTTGTAGCGAGCGCAGCATAGAGATCCAAAGTGTGGCTTTTAAGCGTATTCAGCCGCGCGCGGAGGACGCATGTGAAGAGTATAGTAACAGCGAGGCTGAGGTGTTCTAGTGATGAACTGTTGTTTTTACTAGTATCAGTTTATATTCCGTGATACCCATAGCGTATAGGAAGGGTACTGCAATCAATGAACCAGACGGACTTTTCGTCCCAGAGGAGCGGGATAGGCGGGATGGAGCGGTAATTCGCGTAGTCGTATATGCGTTGTTGGGGATCAGAGTTCCAGCCTTGGGTCCCGCCCGTTTGCCAGAGGATGGTGCGGAAGTGGTGGGTGTAGGATGCGGTGAAGAGGGCGACGAGGGTGAGGGAGATACTGAGGTCGAGGAGGGTGGTTAAGGGGAGGAGAAGGCGTGGGGGGTGGTGTGAGGAGTGGTGTGATGGGTGGTGCATGGTGTGTTTGAAGGGAGGAGGTGAGCATTGGGAAACGGCGCTGTGGGAAATGGACAGTGTAAGTGCTCTTAAGCTGCTTGGGTAGTAGTGCAGGCATGGTGGAATGATGTTGGGCGGATCGCATACCTAGTTTGCGTCTCCTGACGTGCAGTTGTGGGTAGAACATTACTATACAAGACGAGAACGGTATTGAATGCTCGAATGAAAATTCATGTTGACTTATAAAAGGCGTATGGAATACGCATTCGACATAGTACCCTTGCTTTGGGTAAGATCGGCAATGGGTAAGGCGGGCATGTGGGTACTAAGTTGCGCAAATGGCCTCACCACTGTCACGTGAATGGTCGACGATTTCGTACAACGAGAATAGTGCGCAAGTATGCGTGGTTTTGTATGTTAGAAGCTGTAAACTCGCAGTCGATAATCATAATCATAATCACCGTAAACTTGCAGTACACAAGAGCGTGTTGTCTCATGCAGATGGTCCTCCAGATGGTTGTTGGATACGCAACAATTCCTCGTGTTTCCGTAGTATAAATGCCTACGCCACAGAGGCATTGTCAGAATGTCCGCATAGACAACATGAGTGATATCTGTCAAGTCAAGCATTCTGTAAATTGGATTAGACAAATAACTGGCATGATTAAAAACCCGTTGCAAGGACAGCATACCACTGTCTTGCAACTTTTGCATTAATCGTGAAACTCTCCATGTATTACAAACATCCTCTTGACCCCTCTTCTTCCTAATCCTTCTCTTAATAAACCTTCTTAAAAACCTCTCGCAATAAACTCTCTTAATCAAACCCAGAATGGTATAATGCGCTCAACGCCTAATTCCTCATAATAACATACATCCAATCCACCTAATCCATCTTCTTCTCAGCGCATTCACCCCTTCAAGATTGGTTTGTTGGTGAATGATCCACTCGCTGGCGCAGAGGTTTTGGTGCTTTGTGCTCTGGACTTTTTAGAAAGTACCACGTCGCGAAACCAGCGAAGAAGATCATGTTCGCTTGGTAGGTATAGCGCAGGAGGGAGGCGATGCGGGGATTCGGTTGCGGGGCCATGGCTGGTTCGGGCCGCGCGGTGGTGGCAGTGGTAGTGATGAGCAGAGATGTGCTGGCGGAAAATGGCAAAGATGACCGTGGGTGGTGACGTCATTCTCACGTGTTGCCGCGGCCCTTCCCGAGGTATGTCGATCCGCAACCATGATTACAGACAGTGCTTGAAGAAACAAATCTGAATCTATAGCTACATGTTCCCCACATGCACTATCTTTTAACAACGCCTCCTTCTTGAACTGCTCCTGAACTGCCCAAGGTCGTATTCCCAATACGAGCACGGGCGAAAATCACAGCCGATCGAGGTTGTACTCTTTGGTAACCTTAATTTCGTTTGCGCCGAGCGATGCCGTTCTTTCCAGACTGTCTGACTCGTTGGTCAGCGTGACGAATGCGGCCGCTTGTGGTTTCGAGGCGTGGGGCATCCATTGCGAAGGCTCGTTGAGATTGGACGTCGAAGAGCCGCTGCTGGTTGTGCGGAACTTGAGGCGACGCAGGCCGTGGTTTTCGTTGCCCCCAATGGGCGAAGTGCGGCGCCAAGCGGGCAGTGAGCGGACGTTGGGGACGCAGCAGCAGATGATGCCCACGGCGACTTCAATGGGCGAGAAGCAGACGCGCCACCAGGACGCGCCGATGGGATCCTGGGTGACATCGCCGAATACGTTGATTGCGCAGTCAATGCGGAGTACGGCGAGGATGGTGCAGCTGGTGGGTGTTAGTAAGCGGGCGGCGGTCAGGTGCTGCACGCCTGGACTTACAAGCATCCGAGGAGAAACAAGATCATGACAGAGCCCCTTTTCTTGGCCGACAGGTCGGCTGCCAGAACGGCGGGCACGGGGGCGAAGAGGACGACGCTGTTGAAGAAGACGTGCAGGGAGCCGATGATGATGCACGACTTTTTGCTCTGCAGCTTGCACTCGCCGGGCGGATGGCACATGCTGATCCAGCCGGCCAGGGACCAGATGTACCAGATGGCGATGAGGCCAATGGAAATCCAGCAGCCGATCTGGGCGACGCGCTTGCGCTCGTACAGGCGAACGTAGGCCTTGGCAAAGGCGATTTGGACGGTTGCAATCGACGTGGCCCAGCAAATGTCGAGGGCAAACTGCATCTGGACGGCGGTTAGCGATGCTGTGGCCTCGTTCCCCCGCCTGTTTCAGCTCTACGCACCCGCAGCCAGAAGCGCTGCACGACATCAAAGTTCTTGGTCGGGTCGGCCCTTATCTGGTCGCTTGTCAAGCCCTCGCCGCCCAGGAAGACGAGGACGTAGACCATGGTGACTACGACGAAGCTCATGGCCTGGTGGGCGTGTTAGCAGGGCGCGGGCGGGACGGGCATGCATGCATGCAGCTGTTCGTACCAGGGCGGCCAGCATCAGGGCATCCTCGCTGACGGTGTTGATCCTGCGCACGCTGCGCGTGTACCATCTTGCGGCGACGGCGGCGCAGGCAGCCACGAAGCAGATGAGAGGCGCGATGAGCAGGGCGAGCTGCTTGCCGTTGATGATGTGGAAGCGATCGGTGGTAGTGGTTCCCGCCATGATGGATGTTGGGCGTGGCCGTCCTCACGGCATACCGGAGCAGAGCGTTGCAGAGAGTAGCAGAGCGTAGCAGAGCGTAGCAGAGCGTAGCAGAGCGTAGCAGAGCGTAGCAGAGCGTAGCAGTGCCGTGCTGGCCAGGCAGTCGGTGGGTGCGAGGGGGTTTGGCTGCCACGGGAGTCAGGATGCCATGTCTCCACCACAGGAGCGAGTCGACGTAGATAAAGCCAAATAGGGCGGCCTTCCAGCACCGTGGTCCGCGCCATGGGCAGTGTCATGCACCATGCCCGTTGAGCGTACCGTAGACGCCTATCTGGCAGTGCCCGGGGGAGGGTGCTGTGGCCCTGCAGGCCATGCGACATGGGCTGACGGGTCTTCGGGATTCAGAGTTTAGTGTATTAGCACCGTGGCCATGTGCAATGGCGGAGGCGCTGCTGCCCGCCCGCTGATTGGCTGCTGCCCACGCGGGCCGACGCGGAACACTCCCACGCTAGCCCGCCCTAGCCTGCCATCCTTGCCCCCACCACGCCTCTCCTCCCCAATCACACCCACCACCGCCCATGCTGCCACCACCCCCCCCCCCCCAAAGTCGTCCGTCAGGGAGCATCCACGCACGCAAAAAAAAAGAAAGAAATGCCTCCTCCAGGGCGTGCCCAGGTCACTCGCCCAGCTCCCCCCAGCTGCCCCAGCTCCCCCCAGCACGCCGCTGCCTCGCCCAACGACTCCCCGCCATCGAGTATGTCATCGTGGCTGCTGCTGCTGCGGACTTGCCGACGATATGGTGCTGACAGCCAAGGCCCGGCCGCCGCTGGTTTTTTCCTACTGTCCACAGTGCCCGTCCCAGTCCGTCCAGAGCCCGCCATGCTGACCCGGGCGCAGCACCGAGCCCTGAAACAAGCCGCTGTGTAGGCCGCCTTCCGGTTAGGGGCCTACAGAACATGGGTTCCCGCTGCAAGCGAAGTGGCGCATTTCCCATTCAGCCCAGAACACGGCGCCCCGAGTCAGGCCCTGCGCGGCAGCCGTGTTTTCTTCTGTTCGACGCCCTCATCTCTGCGTCGGGCCAGCCACGACTCTTGGACACCTGTCTCTGCCTGCCTCGCGCCAGCTAGCCCGCGCCCCAATCGAGAGCGCACCGCGGGTGCTCCATACACACGTGGCAAGCACGTTCTCCCAAGGCCATCCTCCCATGCTCCAGATCGACCCCCAACCGGGCAAATCTCCGATGTTGTACCGTGGCCGCCCGACAAGTTTCACCTAACCATCCCTCGGTCGAACCACACACTAGACGGCTCTATGACGACGGGCTTACATGTGCCTGTCTACGTATGTCATATACATACTACGCGCCCCCTAGTCTCTGCCTACGGATCGACTTCTGCCCGCAGCACGTGGAAAACGCGCCCCCTCTGCATGTTTTGCATATGCGGGTCCCATGGAGACTGCAAGATTTGAAGCTCTGCACGTCCCCTTGGTAATAGCAGTAAAATGTCCCCTTCTCATGTCTACTTGTACTAGTCTGGCTCTGATAGCATGCTTCCGCCTGAACCATGCCCCTCCCCCCCCCTATGCAAGTTCCAGGCCTTTGCGCCGTCCCCCGTCTCCCCCCCTCGGGGCCCCTTCGCTCGCATTCCCAATTTCCTTTACTCGCTATCTTGCCGCAAATTTGCGTCATTCCGAGAAAAATCATTAGTAGTCATTGTCTCATATATGTACAAGACACCCCCAAGGCCGAAACACCCTTGCTACCTAGGGCCCCTAAAAGTTTATTCGCTGCTTCCACGCCCTGCTATTGGCCATGTGTCACGTAGTCACATGCCGCACACTAGAAGATCCGTATCTTGCAATCGTAAGCTGCCATGTTAGCGTCGGAATATAGTTTTTTTAGTGATGCACGCATAGGCTTGCGACGAGTCAGGTGGTGTGATGATGATGATGGCAAGTCAAGGGGGATGTAGATTGCGAGTGTGAGTAGCAGGCATTATACTCTGTTATTACCAGACTTTGTAATATAATAAGCATTGGCATTATAATAAGAATTAGTATTACTACGAGAAAAGCACTATAGACTATGCGCAAAGCAAGCAAGTAAAATCATAAAATCGGTGTAGAAAAAAGTAAAAAAAGTAAAAAAATAATGATGAAAGAAAGTATAAACAAGAACAAGAACAAGAACAAGAATAACAAGACCCTAATACCAATACGCCTCCCTCATCAATCTATCCGTCTCCCTCATCCTCCTCTCCTCGTCCTCCCGCCTCCGCTCCTCGTGCCTCCTAACCATGGCCCAAAACACGGCTTCATCGCACGGCTGGCAGGGGAAAAGCTCGCGGCGACACAGCGGACACGAAATGTTTTCTTCAAGCCACTTGGTAATGCATCTGGCGCCGAAGACGTGGCCGCAGGGAACAAGCTGGATCCCTGGTTCGGCATAGTGTGGCTTGGAATCTTCGTCTTCTTCTTCTTCTTCTTCTTCTTGGTTGTGGTGGTGGTTGTGGTTGTGGTGGTGATGAAGAGAGGAAGAGGAAGAGGAAGAAGAAGAAGGGCGACGAAGCGAAAGTATACTCAAGGGATTCTTGAGATTTTCAGCGTTATTGAGAAAGGACTTTTGGGCTTCGGTGAGCCCTTTCTTCGTTGTTGTTGTCGTCGTCGTCGTCGTCGTCGTCGTCGTAGTAGTAGTAGTAGTAGTAGTAGTAGTAGTAGTAGTAGTAGTAGTAGTAGTAGTAGTGTAGTAGTAGTAGTAGTAGTAGTAGTAGTAATACTAGTAGTACGTCTTGATAGTATGTCTTGAGAGTAGTGAAGAGAAAACAAAACAAGAGTAGGATTTCGCTCTTTATATACTCTTCCCCCCCTCTCTCTACTCTTATAAGCGAACATTCTCTTCTTTACCATGTTACCTAACAACTTCCACTATGATAGGTTGAAAAGGTCAAGATTTGTAGTATGTGCTAGAACACTGATTGAGTAATTGTACAATGTGCTATTGGGTGATTAGGGAAGCCACATTTCGTATTACTACATAATTTCTAGAGTAGGTGAGTTATTTATTACTATATTCGGGAAAGATTAGAGGTGAGAAAATGTTGTTGGGAGAGATGGTGATTGGATTTGACTACGGATTCTTGGCTACGATGATGACTCCTCGAACAAGACCGCTGCTTCCCCACCACTTGAACATGGTTCGAGCCACACTGAAACTACCTATTCCTAAGCCCAACATCTTTAGTCTTTGGTCCTGCTGCTCGAGAAATTCAGCAAGTGGCGTGAAGACATGTTGGGAAATGTCCTTGACACTAATCAGCTCCTCGGGATATCCAATATCCACCAGTTTCTGGCGGTACTCATCCGGCGTGACAAAGTTGGCCCACGGGGCACCCATAAGCGTCGTCAACAATCGGAGCAGAGTTTTCTGTGCAAGTGTGGCTGACGGCGAGAGACACAGGTCAAAGGCCATGAAAGAGGCGCCGAGTTGGGTGTGCACGTGATGGATCAGCGGCCAGCGCGAGGGCGAAAAGTGGTACGCGGTATCTAGGGCTAGAACCCAACACTCGTCTGATTTGCTTCTGGCAGTGTGGATCTGCGTGCGGAGCTGGTCGTCCCAGGAAGCTGGGGCAGCGGCATCGGCGCAGGCTACGGCGATGCTGCTGTCATGTGACTCATGCAATGTCTGCATGGTGCGCTTTAACTCGTCGATGCGCTCACCGGCATAGCGAGCCTGAACGGCGTCATTGGTAATGCCAACGTAGTAATCAAACTCGACGGCACTGGTGCTTGGATGCCACCACTCGGTGTCGCTGGGCCGCACAGGCCTGTCGCTCATGAGGCAGATGGACTGGTCGCCGCAGCCAATGCCGACATCGACCAAGCATCTCGTAGGGCGCGGCGCTTTCCGAGTGTCTGAGTGCTGCACCAACCCGGCTTCGCGCAAAACAGCTTCGAGAAGGCGGCGACAAGCTTCACTAAGCCTGGGCTTGGCGCCGGCGTCTCTCCAGTAGCCCATGTTCATCCACATGGCGGCCGGGACCTGCAGGTGTAGTCGGCCATGGTGCAGGCCGTAGACGGATGATTTGTGGTCTAAATTTGATCGTCGGCCGTTGAAAAGCCAGAGCAGGGTCAGGGCTACAAATAGCCCCAATGCCTGGGCGGATCGGGGAGCGTCCATTAGGATGCTGACGAAGGCCTGAGGGAGTGGGTCGGGGCCACGGAGAGTGGGATGCAGGACATTCGCCATGATGAAGCCGACGATTAGCTAGAATGCAGAGGAGAGGATTGGCCGCATGGTGTGCCAATGTGGCGGGGTTGATTGGGTTGTTCATGGCAGAGGTTCGCTGGGACAGTTTGGGGCACGGCGTTTGTGGAGCCGCTAGTCATCAATCCGGCTGCATTACAACGCCATGACTCGGAGGGGCTGGCACACCGTTCATGCTTGGTACTGTAATATGCAACTGTTTGGAGAGGTATACTATGTTCTACTAGTTTACACACTATGTACATTCACAGGTAGCCAGCCCATGGTGCGTCTTAGGGCCGCCAGGGCACTGTGACGCCAAAGGCCTCAGCCACGCGCATGGCTGATACGACGCAGCCTTCGAGAAGAACCATGCCATCCCAGCACCAGCCACCCACGAGCCACACATTATCGTCGCCGTTTCGCCACAAAGGCACCGCCTTGTCGTCCGGACAGGAGAGAGGCTCCGAAGCGAACATGGCATTGACGATGCGCTGGCTCTCCGGGGTGCGCAGGACGCGTGTGAAACGGGCACTGTGGAGCGTGTGGGCAGCGTCAAGAGGCGTGTAAGGGCAGGTCGTGACGATGGCGCCACAAGGCTGCACGTGATGCGACTCGGTCTTGGGCGTTTGCTGTGTGCACGTATTGAGGCGGATGAGCTGTGCGTTCTTGTTGCCAGGCTTGGGGGCGTTGCTGGCGCGCAGGACCGAGTAGTCGGTGTGCACGACACTCTCGACCAGGGCCGTGGGAATGCGGCACATGTGATGCTCGAGCGGCCTAAAGATGCGGCCAACGACGTCTGGGGCGACGGCGAGAACAACCCTATCAAAGCGCTCTGTGTGCGTGTCGGCACCGGGGCCAGGACCCTGTGTCCATGATATCCTGACACCCTTGTCGCAGGGCTCGACGGCGGTAATGGTGGCATTGAGCGTGACGTCGAGGCCGCTGGCCAGCCGCGCCTGGACGGCGGCCACGCCCTCGGAGACGGTGTAATGGGGAGCGCCGTGGGTGTCGCGCTTGTATCCTACAATGTCGCTGGCGGGAAAGGCCAGCAGGGCCGTGTGCGGGCACGTCGAGACGCTCGACAGCAGCGGCAGCAGATACCACGTGACAAAGAGGTCGGGCGTGTGCGTGCGGCGCAGGTACTGCTGCAGCGTCTCCCCGCGGGCGGGCGCAACCAAGAAGCAGCACAGGGCGAACCATGCGTAGGCCACGGCCAGGCACAGCAGCTGTGCGACATGGCGCAGGCGGGCGACGGGGGCGGGGCGCGGGGGCAGGCGGTGCAGATTCGAGGCATGGGTGAAGTAGGCGGCATGCCCGTGGACAAAGTCGAACAGAAACGGCTGCTGGCGGTAGCGGACGCCCAGGTGGTCGTACAGGCGCTGGAGGTTTCTGTAGTAGCCGCCCGCAAAGGCGCGCATGGGCAGATCGACGCGGTCGGAGCCGTGGCCGGTGGGCTTGGGCACGGCGAACGAGGCGGCATCGAGAGAGAGCGATTGGCCCTGGCAGCAGAGGCCGTCAGCAGCTGGGGGGCCTCAAGACGCCGCCCACGAGGGCTGGCGATGCACCGCCGTGCTGTTGTTGGATCCCGTCTCTTTTTGCGTGGAGAGCACGTACCGACTCGAAAACCTGGACTGCGTACTGCTGGCGGGCGTCGTGGGCGACGAGATAAGCGCTAGCGAGGCCAGCGAGCCCCGAGCCAACAATGGCGACGCGTTGACGTTGGCGTGGGAGCGCCATGAGGGCGGCAGGTGGAGGAGATGGTTGCAGCTGGCTGGGCTGGTTGTGGTTGCGAGTGCGAGTGAAGCAATGCAGTGCAGTGCACGCCATCAGCCCAGCCCAGACGCGCCGCTTCTGCTTGTCGTGTCGCGCAACAACGCAGCACACACGCAAATGCCACCGCTTCCTCGGCATCCGACACGCCCGCCCAAACATGGCGTGTCTTGAAGTCATCGCCAAGACCCCCGCCCGCTGATTGGCGCGGCGACTTTGGCCCCGCGGGTTCCGGAACGCCTGGTCCACACCTACTACATACTACACACTACACACTCACTGTTCAATCTACCGCCCGTCCTGGGCACGCACTCACAATGGCCGACAAACCCCCTGCCATGCGCATTGCCGTCGTCGGCGCTGGGTACGTCCCCCTTTGCCACCACCTCCAGCCACCATCTATACCCAACCACTAACTCTATCAAGCCCGGGCGGACTGACCACCCTCAAGACGCTGCTGGAAGCCTCGACCCCCGACCGGCCCATCGAGGCCGTCTTGTTCGAGGCGTAAGTGCCTGTCTCCATGACCCCGACCACCAGCTCACGCCACCCAGCGAAAACCATATTGGCGGCACCTTTCACTATCGTGCCTATGAAAATGCCGAGCTCGTGTCTTCCAAGCAGCTCACTACCTTTTCAGACCACCGCTTTCCCCTCTCTGCCCCAGACCACATCTCTCTGCCCCAGTATGTTGAGTACCTGCAGGCCTATGTCGACAGGTTCGACCTCGAGCCGCGCATGAAGATGGGCTGTAGAGTTAGCAAGATTGAGCTACTCGAAAAGTCTCCCGAGCAGCGCTGGAGACACCGCCTCACCTATGTCGACAGCCGCAGCAACGGAAAGGAGCGTACCTTTGACTGCTCTCACGTGGCTATCTGCACGGGGCTGCATGTGGAGCCCAACATTCCCACCATTCCCGGCATAGAAAATGTCAGAGGCGAAGTCTTCCACTCGTCTCAGTACAAGAAGCGCGCCCAGCTTACCGGCAAAGACATACTCATTCTAGGCTGTGGAGAGACTGCCATGGGTATGCCTTTGATTCAGTGCCCACGCACCCGCTGACATGTCCAGACATTGCATACGAGGCCATGAAAGGCGACGCCAATTCTGTCACCATGTGTTTCAGAACCGGATTCCTCTCCTTTCCAAAGGCCCTCTCTCGATTCAAGGTTTTTGGCAAGCAGTTCAAGGGTGGCCTGCCCATTGACGGCCTCATCACCAATCTCTTTGAAACTGCCTACGTCCACCGCGCCATAGCCGCAAGCCGCTTCCGCTGGTTTGTTTCAGACTTTGTCATCAAGCGTGTCTTATGGTTCCTGACGGGCACCCAGGCAGGCATGAAGTACTGCTCTCCTCCGGGGTCCTTGGCGTTACTGACATGAAGCAGTCAACACGTTGGCGCACTGCCGCATGACCGCTTAGGCAGAGCCTTCGTCTTCCTCAACAAGAGCAGCAAAGCCATGCCGTACTTGAACAGGCCATACCAAGAAAAACACCCCCTTGCTTTCTTGGGCAATGGCTACGTTGATCCACCCGAAGACGCACAGTCGAAGAAATGGGTCGATACCTGCACGTTCCCTGAACGAATTGATGAGTCTGGCAGGGTCGTTTTCGAAAAGCGGCCAGACCGCAAAGACTGGCGGCGCATGAAGAGTATTGATGTGCGCCCCAACTGTGTAGTCTACTGCACTGGCTACAAGCAATCTTTCTACTTTCTTGATCCTTCGTACCCAACCTCATCTGACGCCACCGTCCGCAATATTGTCTCACCGCGGGACCCAACCATATCTTTTATCGGGTTCGTGCGGCCAGGCGTTGGCGCTATCCCACCCATTGCCGAACAGCAAGCCATGTGGTGGACAGCACTCATCACGAACCGAATGCAACTGCCTACTGACCCTCCGCATTACCATCTCCTGGCCAAAGAGTCGTCGCGTATCCAATACGGAGTCGATCACAGTGCCTACATGAGTACGCTAGCCAAAGACTTTGGCGGCGCCCCAGGGTTACGGGAGTTGTACAACATGCATGGCCTGAAAGTGGTGCTCGTGTACGCATTTGGTGCTAGCTTTGTGACCTTTTACAGGCTAGTGGGTCCGTTTAAGAGCGACGTTGCTCCCGAGATTACAAGAACAGAGTTGGCAGAGACCATTATGCGCAGAGGCATTCTCGGAAACTTGTTCTTTGGCGTGATACCCATGCTTTTTTACGGTCTCATCAACTGCACTGCCTGGATGCTCGAGCGCATTGGCTTGATAGCCAAGCAAAAGTCTGTTGTCTGAACCGTCCCGAGAAAGACACGTACGAAAGCGTATTGCATAACAAGATTAAGACATGGCAATCTGTGCTATAAGCCACAAATGTAATGAACAATATACTTGTAATATTTCGCATATAGAAATACATTACTAAGACAACTAGGAAGAGTTGCTGTTATCAGCGCACGAAAAGGCCGAATCAATCAGCTTGTTCTTGTACGCGTCATTGATCTGCACAATAACGCCATATGTACCTCCTATCGTGAGGAAGATGGCCAGGCCAACAAGAATGACGTGCAGCAGGTACATGATCTTCTGCCATATGTTGCCCTTCCAGTGGTTTGGATGATCGTAGATCCATAGCCAACCCGGACAGCCCAGGGCCAGAGGAGCAAAGGCAATACTTCCCGCAAGACTCAACAGATAGTTGAAGATGGGCACTCCAGACGCAATCAGGAAACTGGTAATGGCGGTGGCGCCCACACAGCTCAGCCACGTCCCCCAATGGATAGCCGTATTGGCCTGGAGGTGTCTCGACTTTCTCAGAATGCGCACAAAAATGTATTTGGCGCTGACGTGGACGTAGAGAGCGCCACTGACGAGCAGTCCAATAATACCAATCCCGTAAGCAATCTTCTTGACGGTCGGCCCAGCGCTGCCCAGCGAAGGCGAAGCAACCCACTTGCCGCAATACTTGTACACGACCAGACTCAGCGACAGGTACGACGCCGTGACAAAGCCCATGCACCAGAGCACCGCCCGCCGGTAGTGCCGCGGGTTCCGCATTTCCGACACGACGGGCAGGAAAGCGGGCGTGCCGGCTCCAGAGCAGAAAATAGTGCTTGAAGCTGTGATGCCAGCGGCGAATGTGGGACTGTTGAAGACATGGTAGCCAAAGTCATATGGACCTGTTTGCGGAGCTGCGGCTGGGCGGTCGCGCGTTGTGACGCCGACGCTGGGAGTCGTGTAAGTAATTACGTCTTTGGGCAGTGAGGAAGTTGAAAGAGGACTTACACGACAATAAAAACCGCGACAAAAATGGACCCAAACCCGACCCAGGTAATCCACGCAATCTTCTCGAATTTCCTCACACTCGCACACAGCGCCACCATGAGCGCCGCGATAATGGAAAAGTAATTCGTACACAGCGCGTGTTCGGACAGTGCATTCAGCGCCGTCGACACGCCCACCATGCCCGACGCCGCGGCAATCAGAAAAGCAACCAGGAACAAGATGCCGCAGAGCTCGCGGATAATGGGGCCGCCGACCAGCATCCCCATGTCGGCGATGGAATGGCAGCCTGGATGGCGCATGCGGAATTGGCCCAAGACTAGAGCGCCCCACGTGTTGATGCCTTGCCAGCCTAGCACGTTGATGGCGCCTGGGAACGAGCCTAGGACGTACATGGCGGATGGGATGGTGAGGACGCCCGTGGCGAAGGTTACTGCGTGGTGTTGTCAGTCGTCTACATCCATGCATGTCATATCTCATCCCATGCTGAAGTGAACGACCCAGGAAGGAGGAGGAGGAAGAGGAAATATCTTACGCTTCAGCAAAATCATACTCGTATGAATCCACGACACGGTCCGGAAATCCTCGATTCCCTCTCCCCGCTTGAAAATCTCGCCTTCGTTCTCATATTCCAGCTTCACGTCGTTCAGACTGCTGTCTGAGTTGTGGGTTGGGAATGTGGGGCCTGCGGCTGCTGGGGCAATGGCGTCGTCGGTTTTCTCGAGGGACATTTTGGGCGTGGGCGTGGGATATGGTACATATATGTGTATGTATGGATGGATGGATGTACCGTTTCCTGAAGACTGGAGTGGAGTGGAGTAGTAAGCTAAGGTAACGGAAATGAGACTCTGGACTGGATCAAGAGCTCCAGCAACAGCACAGCACAGCACAGCACAGCACAGCAATGCAATGCAAAAGCAAGTACCGATAACCATCCAAACCCCACAACCCATGGGCCACCGTCCCTTTATGCTGATCCTCCCCCTCCCTTCGAACAAGGCTTATCCCTTCCCCCCCTCTTGCATCTGCTTACCCGGCTGTCGCGTGTGATAACGCTCGCGTGCATCCGTGTTTCGCTTGTTATCAGCAGTGATGCTGCGCCTGCTATCTTGCTAGCGGCTAGTGCAAGACTAGAAATCCGGGGGAGAAGCATGAGCGTGACGAGGGCGGGGGTTTTGCACGTACACGTACATACCCACGCATCCACATACCCACATACATACATACATACATACATACGCACCCACTCATGTGGAGACCAAGAAATCCATTTGGAGCAACACCCCGCCGTGTCTATCTACGTTTTTTATTGGAGACAACCATCATTATGCCATGATACTCCCAACTCCCCCTCCCACTATCTTGGCTTTGGAACTTTGGGGGGATCTTTTTTTTTCCTGCGTCCTCCCCGCGTGCTGGGTCTGCTGTCAGATTAATCGCCGTAAACGCCCGATGATGGGGGCACGACGGGTCCGGGTCCGGGTCCGGGGGTTGTGGGTAAACTAATACTAAGAAGAATACAAGGTTTTGGAGACGTCATCGTTTATTTTTTTGGGGGGGCTGGGCAAGGGAAATAGGCGGAGCGAAAGGAAAGGGAAGTTATGGTGGTGGTGGTTAGAGTGGTGGTGGTGTCTCTGGCGGTTTTGGAGGTGCAGGAGATAACGTCAGGCTTACGTTGGATGTATGTGGTGGTTTTTTTTGGGGGGTTAGAGACTTTGTTTATCGTGAGCGAGCGAGCAAGCGAGCGAAAGAGGTTGGTGGTCATGGTGATTGTGAGTGAGCCAAGGTAGATAAGGTTTGTCAAGTAAGCTCTTTTTCTTATCAATTGACGATATACTAATATGTTCATCGGGAATAAACACAAACTTACTTCCCAACACCACAAGCCTCCTCAAAATACAAGTCCAACAAGCCATCTTTTGCAATTGCATAAAACGGAAAAGTGAAATATACATCAAAATACTCAACCTTCACCATCAAACCAATCCAGCACAACCAGAGCCACCACCATCCTACTCCAGTGCCGTGTCGTGGCGAGTAGATTACCCGATCACCAGCTTACTCCAACTCTCTCATCATCCCTCCAAACTACATACATACATACATACACACACACACACACAACACACACACGTACGTAGGTGGATATGCTACTTAGTTCTACTTAGTATGTACATAGCTCCGAGCTGATAGCAGCCGCAGCGTGATTCGCTAGTAGTTTGCAGATCGTGCAGGGATCCAGGGGATGCCAGTGGGTTTAACGGGCGTTTTTCCCGATGAACGAAAAAGTACCGCTATGGCGAACAGTGGGGCGCGAACTGCAGGTGCGGTTCTTGAGTGCCGGTAGTTCAGTTTGGGGTAGGAGTTGCTTTTTCTCTTCATACTTTTGCTTTTGGACTGATAAGAGGGTTCCGGGAGTTTGGGTACGGGTGGGTTTTGGCGACGCTCTGTAGTGGGGAATGGCGAGATGGCTAGGTATGTGTGTAAGTGTGGCGGAGACTACTTAGGGTTTACACCCAGTGCGTGTGTCATCAAAGCAGAGGCATAGATTCGAAATGAAAGTTTCTGAAATCGTAAGAATGCATAATCGTTATCATATGAACAGCCCTCACGTATCGCAATCTACTTCTTCAACATTAGTCCCGGCGCGGCTGGAAGCAGCGCTCCCTTGGGCGGAGCATTCTTCTTCTTGAACTCATCTACCATTTGCTCCATGGTCACAAACTCGACGCCTTCATGCTTCTTGAAATGCTCAATCAATCTCTCGTGCATCAGCAGCAAATGGGGGCGGCCAGATACATCGGGGTGGATGGTGATAGGCTGTTTCGTGCATTAGCTAGACCTGCATGGCTAATCTCGGTCTGCGATGAATTATCGACAAACTTACGAAGATAAACTCGTCGTACTCGCGGTAGAAATAGTCAAAGTGGTCTCTCCACAAATCTTCCGTGTCGCGTGCGTTGACAAAGCCATGGCTGTTTGCAGCCTTTTTGATAAACATGTGCGGTGGCAAGTCCTAAGAAGGAAATCCAAGGTTAGTCAATATCAAACTGACTCATGGCAACTCTCTTACATCAAGATACCAATTAGCAGGAATCTCAACAAGACCCGTGTCTTGACCTGCAACGAGCGGCTTCATCCATTCTTCGGCCGTCTTCTTGTAGTCAATCTTGGTCCACTGGTCGCCAGTCCGCAGATAGTAGGGCTGGCAGTCGTGATGGCTCATGCTGTGGTCATACTCGATGCCGTAAGAGAGGAGTAGCTCTGCTCCCTCGCGGCTAGTTTCCCACCTTTTTTTTGCGATTAGCAAGTCCTATATACTTGGAGAAACTCAAAAAGCATGCATACCAAGGAGCCACACTGCCTCGCGGAGGCTTCCCCGCGAATTCGGTCAGCATGCGATATGTCTTGTCGAGAATGTCTCTCTGCTGGTCGATAGTCATGTCGGTGGGGTTTTCGTGGCTATAGCCGTGCAGCCCGATTTCATGGCCTGCGTCGCGCACGGCAGCCATGTCTTCGGGAAATGTCTCGAGACTGTGGCCTGGAATAAACCACGTCGTCTTGATGTCGTATTTCTTGAACATCTTCAGCAGACGCTGGGTACCGACAGTGCCTGCAAAGACCCCGCGGCTGATGTCGTTGCTGCTATCCTCGCCGCCATAGGAACCCAGCCAGCCGCATACTGCGTCTACATCCACGCCGTACGAGATGAGGACGCGCTTCTTGCCCATTGTGTCTTTGCTTATAAGGTTGGGGGAGACGTGATGCTTGCGAGTAATGCGGCTGTTGCTTTTTGTTCTTGGGGGGGCTTGTTGTCCACAGCCACGTAGACTGCGGAGTAGAAATTTAGTTGGGTGGACCGGCTATTCCGGAAGCATACTTTAGTTGCCATGATGCTTGTCTGAGCCGTACGAGGAGACTGGCTTGATCGCGGGGTACCTGGCCAGAGTCACGAACGGGACAGTCGATGGTGGCCCGTGCTTTTCGTCCAGGACCGCCCCTGCCGCCAACCCCTCGCGTATCTTATCGCGGATTGGGTCCTCTCCAACCTCCAACTCCAGAATCCCCACGTCTCCAATTGACATCCGCGGAATCAACGCAGCGACGCTGATGCGCCGCCGATATCGTGTAAGCGTAAGCGGGAGAAGAGCGTGTGCATGCGGCCCCGCCCGACTACAGCGGCTGTGGCGGAGAAGCGCGTGCAGTGTGCCCCCGATCGGGAACGGTGGTAATATCATTCATATGCTCTGAGGCGAGTTCTTATTATAATGAATAGAAGACTGCGGATAGGGCATGTGCGAGCAACTAGAGCACATAGGAGAAGAACTGGGAAACACACCATGCCTCTTGACTGCAGGATGCTAGGGGATGGATGGTGCGCACGTGATGGTGCGGAAATGAGGTCATTCTTACCTCCGTTTTGCTCGGGAAGAGGTGTGGTCGGTTTGGAGTACCGCGATGCTTTTGCTCAGCTACAAGGTATAAAAAAGAATTTACTCAGAGAATAGGGCCTACTCTGGGGCTACGGACCCCGTGACCCGGCCGTTAAATACTCATGCCGCACATGCACGGGAAATGCCGGGTCCATGGTTGCAAAAACACAAAACCAAACGCATCTCGTCCATCTAATCTCCCCAAGTTGGAGATTTTGAACCTCCTGTTGAGGTACGTTGTTGCAGACGCGCGGATAGGCTAAGCATCCAAGCGGTGCACTAATTTATCAGCTTTGTAAAGAATTGCTAACAAACTCCTACTAGGAAAACTAGTGTCGGCACCCACTTTGCCGTGCGCGCCGCGAGTTGGGGTCGTTGGAGAGGCCATCGCAATACCATTTTTCAAAAGACTATTGAACTCCAAGTCCAACTGCACGCTATTGGTTACGTTGTACGTAAAGTGAGTTTGTGTTGAACAACGCACCGGAGACTTCACAGCCAAAGCAACAACGGGCTATAATTGCACACCAGCCGCAGAACACCAGGCACCCTCAACCATCTCACGGTTACATCCTTAGCTAACCATGTCTGTATTTTTTGACTCGCCCACAAGGTTCGGATGGATGCACCCAGTTTGCTAGTTCGCCATGTACTAACAAGTGTAGTGAGGATACTGTGGCTGATGGTGACGTCGAGTCAGTTCTGGCCACCATCGGCGTGACAAGTGGCATAACAGCCAAGGAATCACGCGACTACCACCAACTCCTGGCAGCTGTACATGATGTTGCCAAGCACGTACTCGACTTGCCAGACTACGTAGCATATACCGATACTGAGAGATATCCACGAGAGCGAATTTATCGACCTTCGCCCGACGAGCAAGATTTCGGCAACGCTTGGGCTCACAAGTTCTTCATCCGTGGCAATTCCCAAGGGACTTTACTCCGGGGCAAAACGCTTTGTCTCAAAGACAACATTGCGGTTGCTGGGGTGCCGCAATTCTTTGGGACTGACGCCATCCCGCCATGGACTCCTGAATCGGATGCCACTGTGGTCAGACGAGCACTGGATGCTGGTGCTGATATCGTGGGGACGACAATATGCGAGAACTTCTGCAACTCGACTTCTTCATTCACTTCTGCGCAAGGTACTGTGCACAACCCGCATGCAGAGGGATTTTCGGCTGGCGGAAGCACGTCTGGTGGCTCGGCTGTTGTTGGTGCAGGACTCGTCGACCTTGCAATTGGTGCTGATCAAGGAGGAAGTATCCGCGTCCCGGCTTCTTTCTGTGGCTGTAAGTCTATGGCTATCACGTATTGCGTAACTGTAGCTAATGAGAATAAAGGCGTAGGACTGAAGCCTACTCATGGACTGGTCCCATATACTGGATTGTCTAGTGGTGATGCGATTAGCGACCATGCTGGACCCATTGCAAGAAATGTCCGAGACGTGGCTTTGTGCCTAGATGCCATCAGCGGAAGGGATGATTACGACGATCGTACACTTGGTGCACCACTACATGGATCAATGCAATATGCGCAACATCTTCAAGGGTCTGTCGCCGGACTCAAGATCGGTGTCCTCAAAGAAGGCGTCGAGCATAGGATCATCCAAGAAGAGGTGCGAGAAACTGTCCTCAGAGCTGCAGAAACTTTCCAACTACTCGGAGCCACCGTCGAAGAGGTTTCTTTGCCGCTCCATCTGGAGGGACCCGCCATCTGGACTATCCAGTCACGCATCGCTGGTACTCTCGGTATGCTGGGATACGCACATGGACGAAGAGGCCTCTTCTCAACAGCCTACGAAGCAGCGCGTCAGCCCTGGACAGACGAGTCGTTCCAGAAGCTGTTCCCATCGACAAAGAATACCATGATCAACGGGCTTTCGCTCATGCAGAGCTATCCGGGGCTGTACGCAAAAACAATGAACGTGGCGCAGCAACTGCGCGATTCGTACGAAAAGCTGTTCCAGGAATACGATGTCATGATCATGCCCACAACACCTTTCGTAGCGCCGCCAAACGTGGACTGGAAGCGAGGAGATGCGCCTATGGATGCGCTGAAGCCTAGCATGGGCATCACCATCAACACGGCCATCTTTGACGTAACAGGCCACCCGGCCCTGTCACTTCCCGTGGGGTTTGCGCCTTCGGGGGTAGATGCCAGTGTCAAGTTGCCAGTGGGGATGCAGCTGGTGGGAGGCTTGTGGCAGGAGCAAAAGATACTGGACGCTGCGTTTGCGTGGGAGTCTGCAAATAACTGGAGGGAGATTGGGAGAAATGAGCCAGAATCGAAGCTTGCTACTAAGCTGTGAGGCCGTAAAAATTGATCAGACTGGGAGTGTATATATATAATAGATACTTGGGTGCAACAAATGCTACGAATCTTACTGTTTCGCACGCAGCTAGACTAATTGATGGTATAGCCGCCATCCACAACAAGCGCATGCCCCTGAATGAAAGACGACTGAGACGAACACAGAAAGAGGACGGCGTCGGCGACTTCGTCCGGCGTGCCCATTCTGTTCATGGGCGCAATGGCGATGGCGGGCTTCAGGGCCTCGACCATGGCTGGCGAAGTGGTAGTCATGGGAGTCTCAATGACGCCTGGACACACGCAGTTGACTCGTATGGCGTCGCCTGAGTAGTCGATGGCGTTTGCGCGTGTCATGTTGATGATGGCCGCTTTGGACGCACAGTAGGCCGCTATCCGTTTTGGTCAGCGATTTCCACAGGGGCTCGGGCATTCAATCAACCGACCGGCGCCGGGTCTCGCCACGATTCCAAGCTGGCTGGCGATGCTGACGATGGCGCCTCGCTGCTTGGGATGCTCTTCCAGAGGCTCCTGTTTCAGCATGCTCCGCAGCTGAGCACGGCAGCTCAGCCACACGCCCTTGTAGTTGATGGCATTGAGGCGGTCGAAGTGGTCAGTCGTCATGTCGACTGCTTTGACCACGTCGCCTCCCAGGACGCCCGCGCAGTTGACGCCGTAGTCGAGCCTCTGGAAGCGGGCGAAGACGCCGTCGTGGAAGGCGTCGACGAAGCCTTCGTCGGCGATGTCGACGGCGCGCTCGAAGACGTCGGCCGATGGGTTAATGCGCAGGATGTCATGCTTGGTCTGGGCCAGCGTGGTTGGGTTGATGTCGGTGATGGCGAGTCTGGAGCAGCCTGAGCGCGCAAAGCCCCTGGCGACGGCTGCCCCGATGCCTGCACGTGATGAGCATGCCGCCAGTGGGTGTGTCACGTGAGCCGGGCCGCCAACGTACCAGTCCCTCCGGCGCCTGTCACGACGGCGACACCAGGAAGCATTCTCGATCTCGCCAGCGCCGCCATGTTGCAAACATACACATGTGCCGAGTGAAAGCCAGTCGCCTCGCCACGCAGCAGCAGTCACCGCTATCAGGTCGTGGGCGGTGTTTTTTTTTGGAGTAGACGCCCATGTACCCCGCAGGCGTTCACCGCCAAGCCGCCGAGCACAACGTTCCCGACTGCGGCCCAACGGGGGATTATTGTTAAGACCCACGCGGCTCCAACCTCTCTCCAACACTCGTTGCCAGATGCACAAACTCACCCACATCTGTAGCCATTGCTCCAGGAGCTTCAAGCGAGCAGAACACCTGACTCGTCACCTCCGAACGCGTCGGTGTCTCCAATGCAACGACGCTGCTTAGAAACGAGTTACAGTGGCTGATCCATGCTCTAGATACCAGAGAGAAGCCCTACTCGTGTCGATGCGGCGCAGCCTTCACGCGACGCGACCTGCTCACCCGGCATTGGCGCATAACGCACCATGCTGGCAGTCCCGCGTCAGCCTGCTCGACTGAAGTCGCGACAGCAATAGGGGCGCAGCCGCAACAGCAGCCGCAACAGCAGCCGCAACAGCAGCAGCAGCAGCAGCAGCAGCAGGAACCGTTGAACGGCCATCATCCTGCTTCCAACGGCCTGGGCGTCCCCAGCACAGTCGCCGCACACTCGCGCCTCGTCCCACAGGTCCACCCAAATCATCTGGGCTTGGACGCCGCGGCCCCGCCATTTCAACATGACCATTCGCATTTGATGACCACGGGTATGTCGTGGTGTTGTGTCGAGGAAAACCATGCGTCAGATGGAGTAGCCTGCTGACAAAGATGACAGACCTGCCCCAACCGCCTCCCTGTCAGGACGAGGGGTTGGAGGACTTTCGAGACTTTGTTAATTTCATCGACGGCGTGGGCCTGTCAGCTCAGTGGACGCCCGAGTATGATTTCGATTGGATGCGCCTTGGCGAGCATCACCAGGAGCCCAGACGGCCTTCTCGCGAGCCCGAAGCGTCGCAGTCACCGGGCCCTGATGATATTGGCACGCCCTTTAGTACATGGCTGCCATCGGCCCCAGCTGATGACCAGGTGAATCTCAAGTCGCATGCAGATGGCGGTAAGTCAAGCGCACCGCGATCGAGGGCAGCCATGCTGATGACATGTTGATTAGACGCCGACAATCAAAGAACCAGAAACGGAACTTACAACGTCACCGAAGACCATCGGAACTTCTTGGTATCAGTGCTTGGAAGCTTTCCCGCTCCTATAACAAATTTCGAGATCCCCTCCCGGCACACGCTCACTCGCTACATTACCGCTTTCTTTGGCGGATTCCATTCACACTTTCCTTTTATACACAACCCAACTTACAGCCCGTCATGTTCACCCCTGGAACTGACTTTGGCCATGTGCGCTGCTGGGGCACAGTATTGCTTTGAACGAAGGAGCGCGGAGCGTTTGTTTAACGTGTCGAAAGCCATGGTGTTTGAGCGTCTTCGCCAGGAAGAGTCGCACTTTAGCCCCCAGACTCTGGCTTTGGTTGTTTCGACTATCAATTCACCAGAAACACCACCTACGCCAAGATGCTCAGGGCCTTGGGCGCCTCTTGATATGATCAAGACACTGCTTATTTTGGTGGGTTTCGCGACATGGGAAAGAGTAGGCCTGTTGCAGCAATCTTTTGCACTCCGAGGATTACTAATCCAGGTGCTTCGAGATGTTGGCTTTGAAGAAGAAGAGACGCGCCTCAACGGTTCGACTTCCCGATCGGCCATGTGGGACAATTGGGCCCAATGCGAGTCTTCCAGACGCACAAAGTTGGTCTCGTTCTGCTACATCAACGTACACAGCGTCGCATACAACTCGAATCCAATGCTTTGGAGCAGCGAGCTACACCTACGGCTTCCCTGCTGCACACCAGAGTGGCAAGCCAGCAGTGCTGCACAATGGATGGCTCTGCAACGCGATGGAAGAGAAGAACAAATGGGGTTCCAGCAAGCCTTGTCCATACTGCTCCAAAGCTCTACAAACGAAGGCAAGTCGCCCAGCCTTGCTTGTTTGAGGCAATGCAGACACTGACAGTTCGCAGAGCAAGTTCATCCCATTCCTAGCCCCATTGGAAACTATATCTTGTTGCATGCAATTCTGCAACGGATCCAGATTGTGCGCGAGCTGTCGTTGCCTGCAGCTTCGCCAGCAACCATTTCCGTCACTGAAATGCGCGTGATTGGTCGTGCTCTTCGTGCGTGGACTTCGCTTTGGCAACAAACGCCCGAATCCATGTTGGATCCTAACAACGAGAGTGGGTACGTAGGGAGGCGCTTTAATTATTTTCGATAGTGATGCTAAACTGCAAGGCCCATCCCATTCACATCAAGCGCACTTCTTGTAGTAGCCTATGTGCGCCTGTCACTGAACATAGGACCGCACCGCCATCTCGCATCACGTGACACAGATCTAATCGCAGCCGGCCTCACGCAGCTTCCAGACATTGAGCGCAACGATAATCTCCTCTCAGCGCTACTATACTCTACGCATGCGCTTAGTATCCCGGTCAGGCTGGGAATAGATCGCGTTGCTCGCAGCCAAGCCTTTTTCTGGAGTGTGCAGCACGCCATATCGAGCTTCGAGTGCGCCATCTTTCTCGGAAAATGGCTCTGCTCGATTCCCAAGCCTTTTCGCGAAGAGATGCTGTCTCGGTCGGAGCGTCACATACTGCACTGGGTGCGCTGCATAATCAAGGAAGCATATGCAGTAATTGACTTTGAAGATGTCGAGGAGAGTGATCACGGTTTAATATTACCCAGTGAGCCTTATGCAGTTGGTCTTGCCGTCTTGAAAATTTGGACTCGCTTCTTTTGCGGCAATACCCAGTGGGACTTTGTCGTGAATCTAGGGTTGAGTTTGGAGAAGTTTTTGAGGACACTGGTGTAGCGTGGAGGTGAGGAAGGGGAGGGAGTGTGTAGGGATGTTCTCAGATAGCTCAGCAGCGGCTAGATGAGTGCATTAATGGTATTCCTTGTAATAAAGCAGTCGTTTTAAGCTTTTCTTTTTTGCTTTTTCTTCGTTTGCTTTTCCCTTTGAGGCTTATGTGGCTTGCTGATATGGACCCAGCTCATCCACCAGTCGTCCTAACGTTCGCATTCACGCTTCAATTGCAGATTATAGATATGACATTTACAACCAAGTATCTACACAAGCGCAATTCCAGTCAAATCGCCCAATTCAGGAAACAAAACCTTCTTCTTCCGCGTTTGCAAATCAACCGCATACACGCCGCCAGCCAAATCACTCACATACGCAACACTACTCTCCAAGTCCAACGCAAGACCAATCGTCTCGTGGAACCTGCTCGCAAGAATCTCAACTGCACCCACAGGCTCCTCGCCGCCCCCGACAAACGCCCTATTCAGCGTATTCCCCCTCGGCGGATCCCCACGGTCCGTCCAGTACAACACAGCGTTCTCAACATCGAGCTCCAGATCAATAGGTTCGGGGAGCGCCTCAAACAGCGTCTCTTTCACAGCAGGCTTCTCAATCCGCGCCCGCAAAATGGCGCCTGCGTTCCCCTTTGACGCGCCCTTTTGCGTCCAGTAGAGCCAGCCTCTGCGCTCGTCGACCGCAATACCCACGCACCAGTTCCGGGTCTCGCATGCATCTGCTGCGGCGTGTGGGTCTCCCGTCGATATCAGAATTTCGGGGTCCTCGGTATCCAGCGGCATGCGCATCACCTTCATGCCTTCTCTGTCGCACCAGTACAGCGTGCGGCTGTGGGCTGCGAGCGTGATTTGCTTGGGCGTCCAGACGCCGATGGATCCCGGTTTTACGACTACGCGACGCTACGATCCGTCTAGCGACGCTGTCTCGATGCTGCCGCTGTTGCTGGATAGCGCGCTGCCCATGTTGGTCCACCACATGCTGTTTGTAGCGTGGTCGATGGCGAGCCCGTCGGGCAGTGTGGATAGCCCTGATATGATGGGTTGTAGGGAGCTGCCGTCTGTGTGGCAGGATAGGATGCGCCCGGCAGAATGGTTGGATGAGGATAACGAGGCATCGAGGATGTAGAGGCGGCGGTGGGGTAGTTCGGCGATGGACGGCATGGTGTATGTGTTGTATGTGTATGTATATTGAGAATAGGAGTTTGTTAAATGTAATAACGTGGTTCATAAGCGAGCGGACACCCCAAGCGAGCGGACACCTCCCCACCAGCGCGTCGACGTTCATACTACAACGCGTTATGTCTTAACCACATCAGATTCAACAAACTTTTTCTGAAGCTGATATCTAACTTGCTATTTCTAATATTAATTCCTAACGTGTAAAGAGTGTTAAACGTGCTGCTAAGATCTATAGCGTCCCTCGAATAACTTTATTTTACCAACGCGCTGGAAGACACTCTCGACGCGACTGCGAACTAAATTTAAAGCGCTTGAATAAGCTAGAAGAGGAGGCTATTGTTAGGCGTATTCTTGAAGAGTCTGCGCGAGGATTTGCGCCTACAAAGGCTGAGGTTCGAGCAATGGCCGATAAACTGTTAGAGGAGCGTGGTGGCAACCCTGTTGGCAAGAACTGGGTTGACAACTTTGTTAGGCGGACTGCTGAGCTCCGTACGCGCTGGAGCCGTCCCTATAATCACCAGCGAGCCGCCTGCGAGGACCCAGTAGCTATCCAGCGCTGGTTTGACTTAGTCCAGGCGACAAGGCAGAAGTGGGGTATTGTGGACGACGATATCTACAACTTTGACGAAACTGGCTTTATAATGGGCAAGATTTTATCATAGTTATTAATCACAGGCTCAGAAGGATATGGGAAAAAGAAGCGGATACAGCCAGGCAACCGCGAGTGGGTTACTGTGATCTAAGGCGTGGGCGCATCAGGTCGCCAGATACCACCCTTTGTTGTCTTTGCGGGCAAGGTGCTTATCAACGTCTAGTTTGAGGATTTGCCTGCTAACTAGGTTCTTGAAGTCAGTCCTAATGGCTAGACGAATAATTAGCTTGGTCTTGCCTGGTTAGAGCACTTTGATACCCATACAAAGAGGCATACTGTGGGTGGGTATCGACTGCTCATTATCGACGGCCATGAGAGCCACTGCTCTATCGATTTTCAAGATCTTTGCAAGGAGAAGAATATTATTCTTCTCTGCATGCCTCCACACTCGTCTCACCTGTTGCAGCCCCTTGACGTCGCCTGCTTCTCGCCGTTGAAGCGCAAGTATGGCGACGCTGTTTCAGGCTTGGCACGCAACCGCACCCACTATATTAGCAAGGAAACCTTCCTACCAGCCTTTAAGGCTGCTTTTGAGCAGTCTATCA